GCAGCGCTGGGGCGGCAAGCGCGAGGTCATGTACACCGCCTTCAAGGCGCTGGGCGACTCCGTGGACTACGTGCAGGTGAGCGGGAGGCGCCCCCACCCCACCGTGGCCCTGACACCCGAATCCCACTTCCCCGAGGCCTTCGTTCAGGGCCGATTGCAATGAATCCCTCCTCTCCTTTCTTTATTCATTCATCCATTCGGTATGGAAATTCTTTCCTTGACTTATTCATCCATCCGTCCATCCGTCCGTCCGTCCATCCATCCATCCATCCATCCATCCCATGAGAGATTACACATTCCTTTATTTATTCATCCATCCAATGTAGAGATTCATTCTTTTCTTCATCCAATGTAGAACTTATTTTCTTCATGCATTCACATTCAAGCATCCATCTATCCAACTAATTATTCAGTAAATTTATTTGTTTGTTTCACTTTGTTTTTATTGATTTTAGAGAGAAAGGAAGGGAGAGGGATAGAGAGAAACATGGGTGAGAGAGAGAGACATCTGATTGGCTGACTCCTGCACGCCCCCTACTGGGGATCGACCTGAAACCAGGGTATGTGCCATGACCGGAAATTTGGTTCCATGGGTCCACACTCAACCACTGAGCCACACCAGCTGGAGAATTATTTATTATTTATTTATTTAAAAATATATTTTATTGATTTTTTACAGAGAGGAAGGGAGATAAATAGTTAGAAACATTGGTCAGTTGCCTCCTGCACATCCCCGAGGAAGGGAGAGGGATAGAGAGAAACATGGGTGAGAGAGAGAGACATCTGATTGGCTGACTCCTGCACGCCCCCTACTGGGGATCGACCTGAAACCAGGGTATGTGCCATGACCGGAAATTTGGTTCCTGGAAAATATAACCTATTAGGTAGCCCAGTAACCTCTGTTTATGATTCTACAGTCAAACCTTTTTTTAAAAAAATATATTTTATTGATTTTTTTACAGAGAGAAAGGGAGAGGGATAGGGAAGGGAGATAAATAGTTAGAAACATTGGTCAGTTGCCTCCTGCACATCCCCCCTGGGGATCTGCCCACAACCAAGGTACATGCCCTTGACCGGAATCGAATCTGGGACCCTTCAGTCCGCAGGCCGACGCTCTATCCACTGAGCCAAACTGGTTAGGGCTATTTATTAAATTTAGAGATCCCTCCATTCTCTTCCTTCAGTGTTGAGACTCTCTTGTTCATTTTTTTCCATCCATTTACCTATCTGTTCCATCTAGAGAGTCATTTGTTCACTTAGTCATTCACTCATTCGTTCAATGTAGCGATTCATTCACCAATGCATGGCATTCGTTCTCTGTTACTGCATAACGAATGACGATACCTTGTTCAGCTTGAAACAAAACACATTTATTATCTCCTCGTTTCCATGGCTCAGGAGTCTGGGCAAAGCTCTGAGTCCTCTGTTCAGGGTACCACCAGGCTGCAAGCGTGGGTCTTATCTGAGGCTCAGTGGCCTCTTCCAACCTCACATATTTGTTGGCAGATTTTTATTTTTCACTGTCATAAAACTCATGGTAGCCTGCCTCTCCCAGACTAGCAACAGAAAGTCTTGACCTGCTCGCCCCTCTTGTATGGGGCTCACCCACCCTGGATAATTTCCCCTTGATTAATTAACAGTTAAGAGATTAGGAACCTTAATTACATTGCAAAACCCCTTCACTGTTTCCATAAAAGGTTATATAATCACTAGAGGCCCAGTGCACGAAATTCATGCACGGGGCAGGCAGCTTTTCTCCCTCTCCCATGCTGCCGGCCCTTGGTCTTGGCAGCCGCTGTGGCTTTGTCCAGATGGACATCTGGAAGACATCTGGTCTAATTAGCATATTACTCTTTTATTAGTATAGATGGGAATTACATCTCATCACTTTTGCCAAAGTCTGTCAGTCAGAAGAAAGTTATACAGGTCCGGCCCAAACACCAGAGAGGGTATTTATTATACAACAGTGTGGGTCTTGGGAGGGTCCCGGTCATCTTAAAATGTGATTAGACATTGAAAATTACTAAGAATTCAAGGTTATGTTCAAACTAGAGGCCTGGTGCACGAATTCATGCACGGGTGGTGTCCGCTGGCCTGTCCCAATCGGGGCCCATTGGCCCGGGCTGGCCAGGGGGAGGGGCCATGGGTAGTTGGCCCACTGGCCCTGCCCCCTGGTCGAACGCCCTGTCGAACTCCTGGTCGAGGGGACAATTTGCATATTAGCCTTTTATTATATAGGACTGGCTGCAGAGTGTCCCAGCGGCTCCCCACCCCTAGGTGCCTTCCCCTCAAGCACCAGCTCCATTCAGGGATCTAGCCTGATCCTGGTCCCTTTTACCCCACAGGTCTGCGACTCAGACACGAGGCTGGACCCTATGGCCCTGCTGGAGTTGGTGCGGGTGCTGGACGATGACCCCCGAGTGGGGGCTGTTGGGGGGGACGTGCGGATCCTCAACCCTCTGGACTCCTGGGTCAGCTTCTTAAGCAGCCTGCGGTACTGGGTGGCCTTCAACGTGGAGCGGGCCTGTCAGAGCTACTTCCACTGTGTGTCCTGCATCAGTGGTCCCCTAGGTGAGCAGGGGCTGGGCTTGGGAGGGCTCTGAATGGGGTGAGAGGGAGAAGGGGTGCCAGGAAGGGTATAATTAAGATTATGGACAAAGATGGGACTTGGACAGGAATTGGGGAGAGGGATAAGATAGGGCGTTGGAGGTAGGGATGGTGTTTGGTGTTGGGAATGGGTTGAAGAAAGGGTGTGGATGAGCACTGGGCTGGGGGAGGGTTTTGGAGAAGGGGATGAAATGGGTTTGGAGTCAAGGTCAGGGTTGGGGCAGGTGGGGGTTGGAGAAGGGTTGGATGAGGATGAGTAGGGGAGGGGTGGAGAATAGATTTGGGATTGAGGAAGGGTCTGGGTGCTGTCAGAGTGGGTATGGGTCAGGGACAGGGTTGGGGCCAGTCTGGGATGGGTGTGGGGTCGAGGAAGGATCTGGGGTTGAGAACAGGATTGGGGCTGGAGTTGTGGTTGGTGATAGAGCTGAGAATGGGATTGCAGTGGTTAAGGATGGGGCTGGAATTGGAGACGAGCTGGGGTTCGAGCTAAGAGTGGGGATGGTGTTGGCGACAGCAGAGGCTGACGCTCTGTAACCCCCGCCCCCGCCCCTCCTCCCACCCACCTAGGCCTGTACAGGAACCACCTCCTGCAGCAGTTTCTTGAGGCCTGGTACAACCAGAAGTTCCTGGGCACCCACTGCACTTTTGGGGATGACCGGCACCTCACCAACCGCATGCTCAGCATGGGCTACGCCACCAAGTAAGCCGAGGGGACCAGGTGGTTGAGTGGGCGTGGAGGCCAAAGAGTATCCCGTGTGTGCATGTGTGTGTGTGTGTGTGTGTGTGTGTGTAATTCACCAAACCCAGAGTCACTTGCAGGACAACGGGCTCTTCCAAGTGAGACATTAGGGGAGAGCGGAAGAGCCCATCAGGGGCAGAGGTAGCGTTTGCACCGAACCATGAGACGCTATGGACTCTCCCAAGTGAGGCCAGGTGGGGGTGGGGAGTCCTGCCTACAGGATACAATACGAGATGGGTGAGATGGCGCTGTCCCGGAGAGCACAGGTTACCAGGGCAGCACAGTTACTCTGAGTGAGTTAGGAAGCGAAAGAGATGAATAGATAGAGAGAGAGCAAGCGAGCAGAACTAAATAACAGAGCTGGAGAGCGCCTACACTAGCACCAGCTTCAGGAAGAAGAGATGTAACTCCATGAGATTCGGGGGAGTGTGGGCTCGAGCAGGTGCAGTTCAGGGGAAAGTGATTTCTACAAAGCTAGATCCAGGGGAAGGGCCAGAAAGAACTCGGGGTAAAACCAAGCCCAGGCATTCACTCGCTCAACAGACGTTAAGTGCCTATAGTGTTTTGAGTCTGGGGATGTAGCAGTTAATGAAAGAGACACAATGCATGCTTACGCTGACTGGGCAGGCAGACAGATAACAGTAAGAAAAGTGTAGAACATACAGTATGGCAGATAATGATACATGCTATGGCCAGGAAGAGGGATAGGAAGGTTAAGGGGAGGGAATGAAATGCTAAATATGGTGCCAGAGGTGAGAGAGAGATGGAGGCTGAAAATGGTGCAAGGGAGAGTGCAGGAGAGGACAGAGTGCATAGGGAGTCCACTCATGAAAGGCTGCGGGCAGGGTAAGAGCTTCGGCCTAAAATGAGGGAGGGTGTTCAGCAGATGGGTGACATGTTGCAACAGGATCGCTCTGGCCGCTGTTTTGAATACACACTGCAAGGGGCAAGGGGGTCAGCAGGGAGGCCACTGACACAGGGGAAGGAGACGGGACACTGTTAGGTAATGCCGTGGGAACAGAACAGCCTGACCCCTCCTAACTGACTGCTGGCGGCCACCTGATGACGTGCCATGCAAGGGACTCCAGCCTTGTGTGGGTGTGGCTGGAAGCCGCAGGGATTGATTAGTGATGTCTGCCCCGGCCACAGGAAAGGGAGGTTGATGGTTCCCTGGAGAGGCCCTAACATGTGGCCTATCCTGGGGAGGAACCATGCCTGGCTTGTTCCTCACCATGGAGCCCGCCAATAACAGTCAGCGCCAGAGTATTCGTAATAGATTAGTGACAGTGTTAGTAATAGTGTTAGTAACTGTAATGATATTAGTAATGGCAATAATACTATTAGTCATTGTAAAAACAGTAGTACTGAGTAGATAACATGTATTGAGCAAGTGCTCTATATACTGGTCCTAAGCACTTGGCATTGAAGCCTCACAATTAGTTTGGAATTATTATTATTATTATTATTATTATTATTGATTTCAGAGAGGAAGGGAGAGGGGAGAGAGAGATAGAAACATCAATGATGAAAAAAAAGAAACATCAACAGTGAGAGAATCATTGATCAGCTGCCTCCTGCACGCCCCCTACTGGGGATCTACCTGCAGCCCTGACATGTGCCCTTGACGGAATCCAACCGGGACCCTTCAGTCCGCAGGCTGATGCTCTATCCACTGAGCCAATCCAGCTAGGGCATTATTATTTTTAAAAACCAGCCTTAAAAAATATTTTTATTGATTTCAGAGAGGAAGGGAGAGGGAGATAGAAACGTCCATGATGCGAGAGAATCCCTCATGGGCTGCCTCCTGCCCGCCCCCTACTGGGGACCTAGCTCTCCACCTGGGCATGTGCCCTTGATCGGGGCCAATCCAGGACCCTTCAGTCCGCAGGCCAAAGGGGGCTAGGGCTAGGTAGGAACCATTATGAACCCCTTTTTAAATATGGGAACACGGAGGCCCAGAAAACTTGCCCAGGGGGTCACGGCTCGTGGCCATTTCTGCCTGGGGATGCCTGCCGCCTAGGAGGGCCACGCTGATGCCCACGTCTCTCCCCGCGCAGGTACACCTCCCGCTCCCGCTGCTACTCGGAGACGCCGGCGTCCTTCCTGCGCTGGCTCAGCCAGCAGACGCGCTGGTCCAAGTCCTACTTCCGCGAGTGGCTGTACAACGCGCTGTGGTGGCACCGGCACCACGCGTGGATGACCTACGAGGCGGTGGTCTCGGGCCTCTTCCCCTTCTTCGTGGCGGCCA